CAGCGACGCGAGGTGCGGGAGAAGCGGATTGCGGAACAGAATGCTCCTTAAGGTCCTGTTGCGACGGCTGTCTCTGAGGAGCGATGGAAGTGGCGGGTGCACGGATACCGTAGCGAGCTGCGGCACCTTGAGGTGGAGCAACGGTTTGTCCGGCCTTGGGCTCAAATATGAATTCAACGTCCTAAATCAAGCGATACCGTTAATTTCCATCATTGGTACCGCATAGTCAGAAAGACGCATTGGAACGTACATCCTCATCCTCCTCGACCTCTTCCTCGACTTCAATTTCGATTTCCTCCTCATCCGCGCCATCTCCAGCACCCTCCGCCTCGTCATTGTCGTTCATGCTAACATCTTGACGGGTCCCGGACTGCGGTTGGGCAGGCGGAGCGATGGCGGCCGACGGCGGCGGCTTTGGAGTCGAGTTGTCGCGTGACAGAAGGTCCTGAACCGCCAATTGGTGGGTGTGCTGCGCTGGTGGTGGAGGAGAGGAATCTCCGTAGAGATCATCGTCGTCCTCATCCATCTTGAATGCTGGTTTCAGAACTCAGAATCGAGCAGCTGATCGGCGACTGTAGCTTCGAGGGCCAGTTTCGTGGTGGTTCTCGGCAGGTGTTCTTTCTGAGTACTGTGAGCGATTGGTGGTGGGTGGTTGAAAAGTGGAAGTGCGAAAGTCTGTGGGGAAGGTTAAGTGCGTTTGTCGCGTAGTTACATATTTTCATGCGCCGCGTCCTCCCACGCGGCTAGCTTTCGATCCTGCAAGCTTCATCGACACGACCACCCAACCACCATTCTTTCCCGACTGTCGCAGCTATCGCCATTCGTTGCTCTCGAGGATCGCTGCGCTTGATTCAAGATAAGCAGCCGAGTCCCTGCTGAATCTCAGCAATCCCGCCACGATGTCGCTCTTCTCCAGGGTGTCGAACACCCCTAGCGCGATAAACACCTCGGCCGCGAACAACTTGTAAGGCCACATATTCACCAGCAGAGAACTTGACCATAGGACTAATACTCGGAGATAGCGGTCAGGGCTCCGGCGCGGCGACTGGTGGTCTGGTGGGCACCACGGCGTCTTCCCTCTTCGGCCAGTCGACAAATCAAGCACCCGCATCGGCTGGCGGATTGGGTCAGGGAGCCGCTGCTGCCCCAGCAGGAGGATTGTTCGGGTCCACTGCGACAACATCGGCGCCATCTGGTGGTTTGTTCGGTGCGACAGCTACAGCGACTACGAGTGCCCCTGCTGCTGCTGGAGGATTGTTTGGTGGAACTACTACAACCGCTGCACCGGCTGCGTCAGGACTGTTTGGTTCGACACCTGCTCCCGCATCGACTACAACCGGTGGACTGTTCGGTGCTAGTACGGCTACTCCTGCTTCCGGTTCCGGAGGCACCGGTCTGTTTGGAGCCACGACGACAACATCGGCACCAGCTGCCACAAGCTTATTTGGTTCGACGGCGGCCCAGCCAGCGGCTAGCACGACTGGTGGAGGATTGTTCGGTGCGCCTGCCGCAACGCCAGCCCAGCCAGCCCAGCCAGCTGCAGGCGGGGGTTTATTCGGTAGTTCGACGGCGGCTGGACCAGCTGGTGGACTATTTGGTGGTCAACAGGCGCAGAGACCCGCGCAGACAGGTCTCTTGTACGTTATTCCAGGCATGTCCATGAAGATTCCAAAGATACAGGCTGATTCGAGATCCAAACAGCGGTGCCCAACCTGCAGCACAAACGACGGCCGGCGGCCTCTTCAATTCATCCACCGCTCAACAGCCTCAATCAAGCATGTTTGGACAACCACAGGCCCAGCAGCAGCAACCGCAGGCTGTAGATATGAACTTTTCCAATATGAGGGGGACGACACGGTACGAAGAACTCAACGGCGATGTTCGGAGTCTCCTCGACTACCTAGATGGCTACATCCAAAAGTCGATCGGAATCTCGAACGAAATCAGTGCCAGATCGGTAGACCATAAGGAAGCTATGGAATCTGTCGACCGAGATGTCGAGCATGTTTCCAGGAAACTGGGGTTCACGACGACCTTCCTGAACAACGACGGCCATTCCATCGGACAACTGCACAATGCCTCATCCCAGCTCGTCAATACTGCGTCTCTCAGCACAAGAACCATCGACATCCTCAGGATACCGATTTCGCAGCGGTCCCACTATCTCTCTTCGCATCACACTTCGAACCCTGAATACTCATTAATACCTTATTTTGAGGAGAAGACCGGGGAACTGGAGGGCAAGACCGAGAACTTCCTCTCGGCAATTGGAGAGGTTGAAAAGACACTGGAAGCTGTGGAGAGGGACGTTGGACAGGTCAATCTCAGCGCGGAAAGCAAGGTGAAGGAAGTCATCAAGGCGGAGAGGATGGTATTCTCGGGCATGTTGGCGGTTGCGAGCAAGGTAGCATCGGTGAACGAGGACCTCAAGACGCTGGCGAGATGAGAGATGAGGGCTTCGATGGAATGAGGATGTCTGGTGGAGGAGATCTGATAGACAGGCGTGCTGTTATTATCTTGTGCATCTGCTTTTGTCATGTGCTTCATTTTGAGCGTTGATGGCTTGCTGTTCTGTGTTTTGGCTGCCTTGTATGTACAGTACGCTATGTTCGATAACCCGCAATAATCGACGGCGGGCCAACGCCACCTGCTGGCCCGCACCGCTTCTCTCTTCTGTCTCCAACCATCTCCATCGCGGTGACGTCGACCACTCTCCCCCTCCTCAAACTCCATCCAATTCACCGCTCGCAGCTGAAGGGACCTTGCAGCTGTTGACTGAGAATCGCCACGGCCTTTACCCCGAAGTCCCTTCTAGATCCTCCTAGGAGTTTCTTGTCTCATACCTCTCGTGGACGGCGAGTCGAGCTCCTCACAACTGACCGGTACACATCACAATCGCTAGCAATATGGATCCCCGGGACGTCGAACCGAAGCTCAAATGCAACAATTTCGACTGTCAAGTGGTTTTGACCGAGACTGCTGTGGCGGCAATGTGCAGGTATGCCCATGGTTCCCACAACTTCTTGATCCTCAGAAACTAGTTGCATCAGTTGAACGAGACTCTAATATGCAACCTGCAGCCACATACTCTGCGTTAATTGTGCAAAAGGGCATCTTGTCAATCAAGAGCCCGCCGTACCAACTTGTCCTGTCTGCAGTTCAGAGTTCCTTAATGAGGAAGAAATATCGATCGTTGAATTGAACCCGTCTGAGACGCGCCAAAAGATGATGCTTCGTGGCCTTCATCCTGGAACCATCGCCTATATCGCTGACCAGGCCACCCAAGTCTGGGTGTGGCAAGCCTGGCAAGAGCTGTATGTCCACATTGTACACCCCTGGCTGATATCGACAGCATGGTTTGAAGCTCTTCTGACGAGTTGTATTCAAACAGTCAATGGGGACAATGGTTCGTCGAAGAAGCGAAAAATGAGAAAATGCAGCTGTTTGCTGAATATGAGCGTGCTATAAATGAGGAAAAATCAAAAGCACAAGCCCTGGAGGCCCAACTTAATGGTTAAAGCCCCATTGCCTGATTATCTGAAGCTTCCAGCGAGACGTATCAGCAAGAGACATACTGACGTCGCTATTCTCTCGGCCACATAGCACTTGCTGACAAGAATTCCGAATTGGTTCTCAAGAACAATGAACTTGGACAATCCTGCCGCGAAAAGGCTGCCAAATATAAGAGACTTCAAGCGGATATGGACAAGCTCAAACGAAAGAATATAGTCTCAATCACCCAGGGTGCGGCGGCAGCAGCCATCGACTTGGTCGTAAACCAGCCTCAACGCACGCCTCCAGGCTCGTCTAGCGGAGTCGCAAGGTTGAGCGAAACGAATGCCGTGCACACTGCTCCCATGGGCGATGTCCAACTTGCTTTCGGTGAAGGTGGTAGACAGGGGCCATCACCAGAAGACTCTACGGTGGCTAATCAGATCAGGCATTTCGGGCATCGAAATGGTGCTTTTGGCAACGGCAATAACCACAATGGTAGAGGAAGTGGGCTGCTGCTCAACTCTAGGGGTTCAACCAGGGTCCATCCGAACGAGAGAACCGGAAACATTCGTCATACCGGATTTCATGCTGCGGCATTGGGAAACACGATAAGTACGACCTTTCCTTACGCTCAGATCCACAGCAGAAGAGCAAGTCCGTAGCTAATGACTATTATTTGAAGGTCGTGCTTCAACGCCCTTAGGTTCTCGAGCCCCCCAGCTAGGATTCAATCCTGCATATCCTAGCGGTACTCCACCCGACATTGGAGCACAGAGTGGTTTGAACAGCAACCGGAATATGTTCAATGTTCCGGTTGGTAACAGAACTCCACGACTACCAGCTGGAGGACACCGCCCGGCGATTCATGGAATGCCTGCAAACAGAGGGATTCCAAGATCAAGCCACGGTGTGGGCCATACTCAACACCCTGGAAATATTGCGGGTTCAGGCAGTGCGATCCGTCCCTCTACTGGGCCACGGCATTTTTATTAGTGGTCTTGGGCTCATTCAGATTGGATCTGGTTGATACTTATATATATGTTTTGCTGATGTGATGGTTTGGTCTTGTGCTGTCTGTTTTTTATGGCGAGGTTTGCAAATTTTATAGAGAGATACCCATGAGAACGACTGCCGTTTTCCTTAGTGGCTTAAGGCGGTTACAGCATGTTACGCTTTTTGATTTGAATTGCTGCCTTGTGCTATTTGGTGGGACTTGTGCTCGGATTGTGAATTAATGGTAGTCAGTTTTTAGGCGTCGAATTTGCTTTATGGCTGAACGCATCGCATCCTGTACCCTCTGGTCTCTAGAGATATATCGTTTGCGCTCATAACGCCCAGGCTCTCTTGTAGCGAACTCCTAGTGGCAAAATCGGTTGCGCGTAGCGTCGATACATGGCTGTACAGTTGTTGTTGTAACGATGGTGCGTTGCATATATGCCCAAGAACAACTATTGTAGAAGATCGTTATATACCGTAAATTCTTTCAGACATTCAAGAAATTGGAATCTCGAATGGTCCAGTGGTCAAGATTCCCGCCTGTCACGCGGGCGACCGGGGTTCGATTCCCCGTTCGAGAGTTCTTTTTTGCCACTTTTTTGGCTTGTTTCTGCTCCTACTGCCTTCCTGCAAGTCTCCGCCTTGTTTTGAAGGTTGGGTCCGTTGGATTCCGGATGTGGGAGGCGGGTCGTCATTTTGGAACTGACGAGATGATGTCAGGTTAGACTGGATTGCCGAGGCCTTTTCTTTTGCTGTATTTGGTAAGCGCGGTTCGACTTGGAGCTTATTTTGGGTGCAGCAGCAGAGTTGTAGATGGACGTGGGCGCTTGGCACCAAGCTCTATCTCCAGATCTTAGCTTAGCTTCGTCATTCATTTCACTATCGGATGTATTTGATATTGTAATTGTAATGCGGTATCAAATAATTCAAAAGGCCGCAGTATAGAGAGTGTGCTATTGTTTAAATGCCCTCCTTCTGTCGATCTCGTAAAACCAGCTGCCAGCGCCAGCCCAAGATTATCTTGCCTCCATCAGGATCTAGATCTATGGGTATGGGATCGGCCACCATGATTAATGCTTTTTGAGGCATCAATTGATTAATTACATACAAATCTTAATCGTACCAGTCATATCGGTCACATTCCACGGGTGACATTTGGGTGTCCGAAGAAGTAAATGCATCAATCGTACAGACTGTAGACGAAATATAGACATATACAAATGTTAAAAGTCAACGACGACTCATTCTTGAGGGACCAAAGCAAATGAACAAAGCCAAATTAAGCAAATCTTTACGAAATGCAACTTCTGCAAAGAGAGGAAAATCGAAGAAGAAAATTAGGTCCTCCCCCATGGAAGCGTAGTGTACAGCAATGGAATATGCTGCTGCGACCCATGCGTATCCGATTCTCCAAAGCCGCCAGACACCTGTGGTCGCTTAATCGTCGCCTTGAACGCCATAGCCGGGTCCCAGAAGAGACAGGCGAGCACATCTTTAGTGCTAATTTTGTACATTTTGGCGATGGACTCGGCGGAGAGGACGCCAGAGTTTCTGACGCGCTCGTATGTTTCTTTGTCGCCGAACATGACGTCGAGGGTCAGTTCGTAGGGGCCGGAGTTCTTGCTGCGGAGAACGGAGGCGATGTCACCAAGGTAGCAGGTTCCCGGAGTGGGTTCTGGCTCTAGCGGGTATTTCTTTGCACTCTTGGGGGCGACGATGTTCAGAGAAGGCTTGCGGGTGGTGACGAGAGGGCCTGGAAATCAAGGTAACGGTTGTTAGTCGCATCAAACATACTTTAGAAGGGTATACTGTCATGGCAATTTCTCGAACCTTCTTGGACAAATGTATCTGTGCCAGCTACGTGCTCGACCTTGATAGGGAACAGGCCGATGGGATCGGCCTTACGCATGATGTGGTACACACAGAATTCCGCCAGCGGACCCATCGAGATCTCGCATGGTGTCACCGGCCACGCGAAGTTTCCAGCCGTAGCAAGCTGGCCGGCGTACGGGGCGTGCGTGAAACCAAACTTGGTCATACTGGCAACCTGGTCTGCCTGGGCCTGTGTGGCGGCTTTGACCTGCCCGACGATGCAGACTTCCTTGCCGATGCTTGTATCCGGCTCCAGGGATCCCATGACGCCGTTGACGCCGTATCGGTGGATCTTCACCTCGTACTCGAACCCGCGCACCTGGCTCTTCACCATGCCTTCAATCCAGGCGATCCACCCGTCGAGTTGGGAGAGGAGGATCGGATCTCTGAGCGCGCCAATGAATATGGTGTGGTAGCCGGCGACGCGGGCGCCTTCTAGCTTGACGGTGTATTCGCCTTCGGGTTCGGGGTTGAATCTGGCGTTGCGAACACGTACGGTCGTCTTGTCGATTTGCTCAAACTTCGCATCGTTGAGATGGAGTTGACCGCCGGGGCCATAGAGGACGTCTGGGCGGGTCTTTTCATAGAGGAAGTGCGAGGCGACAGAGGTGACGGTGCAGATGGACTTAGGGTCTAGACATTTGAAGTCGAAGCTGTCGTGGCGCATGATAGCCAGGGCTTCGCGAGACTTGGGAACGGCACATTGCGCACCGCATTCCATTAATTTGCCCATAGCGTAGTTGAGACCTAAGATCAGAGTATTCAACAATTTTAGCGTCATAGAACCGGTAATACATGACGATTGCAAGGGAGGTCTAAGAAGATGTGTAGATGAGCGTGGGATGTTCTGTACTAACCCATATCTTCAAAGCCTTTATAGACACAGAAGGCAGCATAAGGCGCGGGGTCGTACGCCCGCCCACCGACAATAATGTCGAAGCCTGGATTCTCTTCCATGGCCTTGACAAATGGCTCCAAACCCATCTGCGCAACGACGCGAGTCGCAGCCTCGACATCACTGTCTTGAAGCTCAGGGACTGCGCCACCGCAAGGAACAATCAAACCATCTTTCATTTTCTGCCTGATATGGTCCTTGGGAATCTCAGAGTAGATGCTGAGAATATTCATTGGACGGTAGCCATTCTTCTTGATGCAGTCGCGGATTATCTCCACGCATGTATCAACAAAGGCATTCTCGCCATCACCACCAGCGCTACCGATCAGAACGGGGACATTGTAAAGGTGGCACCCTTTGGTGAGGAGCTCGAGGTCTCGAACGAGGCCAGCTTTAGGGACGTTGGTTTTGCCGAGGGCAAGGCGACCGGGGCCGCTGTCAGTCGAGCCGCCGTCGATGATCGTTACATCTATGCCGGATTCGAGAGTGTCCCAGTAGATTTGCTCGCTGAACCCTTGGCCGAGTTGGCCGATAGGAGTGAAGATCCTGATCTCTTCTGTCGTAGTTTTCGAAGGTGACATTTTGCTTACAGATTGAATTCAGGATATTTCGAAATTTCTCTCCGTATAGTAGGCCCGTAAGAAAGATTATATATATTGTAGCAGGCGTTAACGTTTGGGACGTCGAGATGATTGGACCCTTCTGTCAAGTAGACTTTTATAGAATGATCGATATTGGATATTCCTGATCACTTTGATTTATCGGATGGGATTATAGGGACCGAAATGCTATAGTGAGAAACCACACTTTGCAGGACGCTAGTAAGTCAACGGGTCAGAATTAGGGCCGAAAGGTCCTGACCGGTCTCGATAATGAAGTCCGTACAAGCCGCACGATAGATTTAAAGCTTGCAAAGCCGGATATCCGTTTTGTTAAGGTCTTGTCGCTTTAAAGACTGCCCTGATGACGCGAAGCCGAAATTGCACTGCCAGGTAAATTGGGCGGAGCCGTCGGCATAGTATACAAATCCAGATAGAAGTAGTCAAGTACGCACCTGCGCACCTGCTGCGCGGGAAGGGAGACGGGAGGTGTTGGAAGAAGGCGGATTACCCAATTGGGAAACCGTTGCGACTCGGCATTGTCGCACAGACCCCTTCGCTGTCGACACTGCGGACTCGCAATGATTTGGCCGCTCTCGAGCTCTCTAGTTCATAAGCACCTTTGTCTCGCCACCAACATATAAGCTTTGTCAAAGTCGCCTAGCGTCGATGCCCCATATACCATGCTCGCATGCAGCTAGTTCGAACATTCGTCCGTCGGCCTGTCTCCTGCAGTTGGTCAACCGATTGAGCCGAGGGACGGATTGGGCAGCTGACGGCTTTCTGAATTCAAGAGCGGGGTGTGGGGAAGCTGGGGCGTTGGGTTCGAGGCGAGATTAATAACTGGGGTCTGGCTCGTGAAGTGCCGTTTTTGAAGGTTTCTATGGCGCCGCAGCGAAGGCTTGAGTGGTGTGTGGTGAGATGGAGCCGAGGCTTTCGGTCGTTCTGTGCAGCTAACCGTAGATAGTCTGTAAACTGGTCGTCTATGGACGGCTTAAACGTCGCGTCGAGAGTATTAAAATGCTAACTAGCGAGACCTCATGAGAATCAAGTTTTGGCTCGTAACCATCCACCATAACTCTGCGATCGTGAATCCATCGCGAAATCGAACAAGTCTTCTGATAGCTCCCGACCCCTCAAGATACTAAGACCGGGATCAACAATGGCAACAATGGAGGACAGACCAAAAGCTGAACAGAACGAGACCGTCAAGATGCCCAGCGCATCAGATATGCTCGGCCCACCAAAATTTGACGACCCGTACAAGGCCCGGGAATACTTCAAGAGTCGCCTGGTTCTGGCCTTCCGTATCTTTGCCAAGTATGGCTTCGACGAAGGTGTCGCTGGACATATCACTCTAAGGGTTAGTCACGTTTAGAATGCAATACCACGCATAAAATCTTCTGCAAAATTCAAAGCTAATGCCAATGACAGGATCCAGTTGAGCCAACTTCTTTCTGGGTGAATCCCTTCGGCGTCGCCTGGCCGACTTTGACTACTGAAGACCTCATCCTTGTCAACAAGGATGGCAAAGTCGTAGATGGTGGTAGAGTTCGCCTCCTCAATGCTGCAGGTAACTACTTCCCCGAAGTCTTTGGATATACCACCCTTTAACTGGAATAACAGCCAGTTCTAACTGCAATACTGAACAGCATATATGATCCACCATGCGGTGCACGAAGCCCGACCAGACGTCATGTGCGTCGCCCACTCGCACTCCCTTTACGGCCGTGCCTTCTGTACGCTAGGCAGAAACCTAGATATCATCACACAGGATTCTTGTGCCTTCTACAACGATATAGCACTTTACAACCAGTTCAAAGGCACCGTTTTGGCTTCGGAAGAAGGTCGTATAATCGCTCAGGCGCTTGGCAGCAAGAAAGCCGCGCTGCTCCAGAACCACGGCCTCCTCACCTGCGGCAGGACCATTGAGAGCACTATTTTCTGGTTCATGTCGCTGGAGAAGTGCTGTCATGCACAGCTGTTGGCGGATGCCGCTGCAGGAGGGAGGGGTCATGAGACGGCTAAAATCACGGATGAAGATGCGTTGGAAACTTACAAGACGGTGGGTACGGAGATGGCGGGATGGTTTAGCGCGAGGCCGGTGTTTGACATCATGGAACTTGACTCCCAATCGGGTTCAAGATATGGCAGCTACTTGGGTGCTTCCAAGTAGAAGTTTCAAATATATAGGATTCAACTTGCGGCTTTCACA